TGTTAATCTCTATATCTAATTATCTATAATAAGAATAATCATTTACTAAAAAATAGTAATAAAAATTTTAAGAGAATTTATTATATATTTTTTTTGGAAATTTTTTGAACGTATGCATAATTGATTCTATATACACGTTTTTATCTTCACAAAATTAAAGATGACATTATCATTCACAAAGATATACAAATGTTAATTTTGTTGATTCCATATACACGTTTTTATCTTCCCAAAATTAAAGATAACATTATCATTCACAAAGATATACAAATGTTAGTTTTGTGCGGTGTTTGCTAGGATTCGTTTTAAAACTAACCACACACTATATTTTTAATTGTATCATATGACGTTAAAAATGTCATCACAATAAAAATATATCATATATGATTCTTATGATTTTTATGGTAGAACTTAATTTTCCTACAACCCTACTCATCTGCCGCATACTTGAATTGTATTTACATTGGTAAGTTTGAAAAAATAAATCATATTTAAAAAACAAATATTCATTAAAATATCATAGTTTTTATACTAACTTATGAAATTTGATATTTTGATACGAATTTGTGTAGATCTTTTTTTAAAAAAGTTTGAATTGCCTAACATATAGGTCTGACTAATCGCAACTTCGTTATACATTATAGTTTTACTAATTTTATTATGAGAGGCTTGAATCTTAATTTCACGTAACACCAAATGCTTGATTATATTTACGGACAAACAAAATACAATTTTCAGCTCAATAATATTCAATCAAACTTAAGAAAAACGGATAAATCCAGTTATTCAATAGGATTCATATGAACACTTTATACGCACAAAAGTTACAATCTTGATTTTTGGCAATAACTAATTCTATCAATTTAATGAGGTCAGTTTCGTGTAAAATTTAATATAGCTTGCAGAGATTGCAATCTCTGTTATATTTTAAAAACGCTGTATATTTTAGTCCAATATTCAAATAGTCTTCTTCAAAATTCACATGTCAATCAACAAACACGGAGACAGACTATTGCGTCACAAAATTCAATTAATTTAGAAAGTTAGGACATCAATGTAAAAGTTTGTTGAAAATATATATAAATAGTAACTTTGAATTTTTAATAAAATGTTTGACTTACTATTATAAGAAATGTTTTTAAAAACACATTAGATTAGGAAAAAAAATGAGCAAATCAATTCATATACTGTTTTTTAAGAAAAAAAAAACGGGTGCATGTTTTAAAAATGGATGTTACCTTATTATTTTTCTTTTTCTTAACCACTTTTTCCAATCATTTGGTGAGTAAATTTCAAATTAATAATCTTAGTAAAATTATCGGTGCATCTTTTCCAATGGTTTGTTGAACGATCTCATTTCTTACACAATTTTGGCGAAACCCGATTCTCATATACTTTCAAAGTAATATACTTATCTATTACATAAAAAAACTCGATTTGACATAAAATTTTACATACAATAATATTAACAAATATTTCTTACCCGTGCATCGCACGGTGGTGTTCGTACTAGTATATATAATACCGACTTTCATATTAATACTTAAAACCAATCCTAAAAGTATGCTTATAGTTAATCAAAATTAGTTTAAACTAAACAAACTCAGTATAGATTAGCGGCTACTATCAGCAAGCTCTGTTAAACGAAACAAGCCACTTGTGAGCTCGGTTCGTCTGATTACCAATGAGCTTGTTTGTAACTTGTTTAGTTAATAACAACCAAGCTCGGCTCTAGAATAGAGGTTTTTTTTTTATATTTTTCTGAATTTTACATTTTTCAAGTTCAACTCATTAATATTGATAAACAAACTGAGCTAAAGCTTATCTTTATCCATCGGCTCGTTCAGTTAACGAGTCAAATTTTTCTCGCCTTGACAAAGATTTGACCCAGATGTCGAATACCAAATGCTCAAGCTTAGCTCTTTTATACGAGTTCGAGCTCGTTTATCTAAAGATCCTGAGTTCGGCTCGCTAATGTTGTTAAAACGAGCAGAACTCTTTTCATTGACTTATTTAATTAAAGAGCGGAGCTCATCTCAACTCAATACTCAGACTCGCTTACACAGCCACAAAACATCACATACTTTTCATGTTTTTGTTTGAGTGGGGCCTATGGAAATTACAGTAGGCAGACATATTTAGAAAAAATGGCTTTCAGACAAGTTGTTTGGGTCCACCTTAAAAAGGTTGGTCCTTTATTGTTTTGCTTTGTGTAATAAGAACACACAGGAAAAAATTCAAGAACCCTACACATGGTAATGAATATGCAGCAATATTATCCATAATCATCCACTAGTTGACTTTTCTAGTCAATTTTGGCCAGGTTACCTAAAACTTTTGCTAGATTAGGGGTATCTTACAATTTGTAATCCTATAATTTTTATTTTAAATAGTTGTATTGTTTTTTACAGTTCGAAACAAACCAAAAAATAGCTTTAATTTATCATTATACTTCAACAGGGAATGGAGTNAAAAAAAAAAAAAAAAAAAACAATATTATTTTTCGACTGAAAATGTTTTTTAAATAACATTATCCCTATGAGAAATGTTGGATAAATATTAGATTATAGGTTCAGTATAATGTACAGACTGTTGAGCCTAAAAGTAGAACGATAGAATTCTATTTTTGGGATTTAAAAATATTGTAGGGTTAGACAAGTCAACTCGCAGTGCATTTTATTTTAATTGCATACTTAGAGCATCTCCAACAGATTACACCAAACTCAAACCCATTTTGCAGTACAAATCCCATTTTACAGTAATTCAACCCATTTTCCAACTCAAAAGAATATTCTCGGAATATTCTATTTTACATCAACTTTTACAACTTTTCAATACTACCCACATATTTTACAACTTTACAAATTAAACCACACTATTATTTTCAATTCAATTTGGACTTTATGTAATATACTAATTATAAAGTAATAATCATATATATACATAATAAAATAAGAGGAATAAATAGTATAACTAATTTTCATGGTTTATTATGTATTTTTATTTTCTGTTGTTCTATGTTATCTTTCAATATTATAACTAATTTGGTAATATTAATGTCTTTTTTATTTGTTAAATTAGTAGTCTTTTTAATATTAATATGGTTTGTAACTTTTTTTAAAAAAAAACACTAATAATATATAATAAAACGAATAAAACAATATTTTAATTCAAAGTATTTTTTATTATATGGTTTGTATTTTTTTTTTCAAAAGCATATTGAATAATCTAATTGTTATATGAATATATGAAGTTATTTTCAAAATATTAAATTGTAATTAAAAAAATAAAAAATCATATATAGAAAGTATTAAAACATTAAAATAAAATAAAAAGCAATATTAATCTATATTCAAAACCATTATATATATATATATATGGATTAGGTTAATAAATAAAACATGAAGCAAACAAAAGGGTATGAAATACAAATTCTGCAAACATTTGCGTCTTAGAACAGTGCGACGCAAATTTGCGTTTCAAGAGAGAGAAAAAGAGCCAACAACGCATTTTGCGTTGGGTTTTGCAGTTCCATTGAAGAGAAATTTCTTGTTTGCGATCAGTTTTCCAGTACCGTTGGAGAAGGTCTTATGTTGTTATTTAGAGTATAACATCTAGATGTGAAAATACACACGTTTATTGAAAATGTACAGTTATAAGTATCAAATTGTAAAATCTCCTCTTATTACCAATAGTCTTCACTAATTGTAAAATCCTGATTTGATAGGTCCCTTAGTACCTTCGAGGAATAAATAAAAATATTTATTCAAAATGTATGATTACTTAAAGCTTACATCTCAATAGCCTGAATTTGCTTCCATATTAACTATCAAATAGACAAATACTATGGCAACCAATAACATAACCAAACCCATTACACTTTTTTCGCAAAACTATATATTTATATTATACAGTATCATATTTTGTTCATGTCATATTTAAAATATTATATTTCATTATAAAGTTATTTTATTTACAATTATGTCTTAGTAACAGAGTTTTTTAACCAAATAAGGACCCCAAAAAAATTTGTCATTTCTGGTGGAATGTGATTGATGATGTACCAATAAAGTGGCTGAGAACATTCCACCACAGTTTATACCTCGAGAGGAGCTTTTTGAACAGGTCAACTAACAGAATAAGGAAGCCAATCATATAATTATATGCTTACCAATTGTTCCACCACACTCGACATGAATTATGGCTTTATCCCCAAGGATAATAACTGGATATAAAAGATTCTAAATTCCAGTCAATTTTATGTCCAAATTTAAGTTGAAATCATTCAATTAGAAATTACTGGGAAGAGAATTGAGCAGGAAAACCTAAGAAAATTATGAGCAGTAGAAGTAAATTAACATGTGATTTTTACAGTTGTTATCATTATTATTTGAAAATTTTGTAAATACTTGGTGTTTATTTTGTTGACCCTTGAATCTGATCACGCAGCTTCTCGTACTTTTTTAGCTCTGCCATTGATAGTGAAGGTGATAGGTCCCTTAGTACCTTCAAGGAATAAACAGAAAATATCAAGAACGAAAAATATATAATAAGAATAATCGACCCATATAAGGTTTATGCTGCCTCATGCAAGAATTTGTGAACAATAATATTATTATTATTTTGAACCAAGAAAAAACACTTGAGCGTTCACACTTGAATTGATTAATTACGGTACTGTCCCTAGTGTGAACGCAACACTGTATGTTCAGGACGAGAAAAAAAAAAAAAAACTCAAATGGCAAAAAATCAGTTACTTTTTGACTTTCTACAACTCCCACAGGCTGCTTTGGATTAGTACAACTCGGTCAAATGTTGCCATCTTTTAAGAAAAAGAAAGAGAACTTCTAATGAAATATTCAGGCTTTTGGAGAGTCTAAAGCAAATAACACAAGTTCTTAGGAAAACATTTAATTTTTTTTTTTTTAATATTCTTGGTCAATGGATGTTAATATGTTATTTTATCTTATTATCTTATATCACATGCATAGCATAATCTTTCATACCTCAACAAAATCCTCATATTCAACTTCAACGGCATCAGATTTGTGGGTCAATCCCGATTCTGAATCTTCATATGATGCCTACAACAAAACAACATTTAAAGGAAATTCAAATGCTTATTGTGTAACCCATAAAAGAGCCGACTTTAATTTGAATTGCATAATACTTAAGCCGGTAAAAGCGTTAATACAAAGATAAAGCTCTCTCTTACTTTGCGTTTTGCAGCGTGAAACCAAGCATCGGCACATAGTGCATACATATCCGCGCCAGTAAAATTTATCGGGCATTTCTGTGCAATCTCGTATAATGACACATCCTCGTGCAATTTAAACTTCCGAGTGAGTGCTTTGAGTACCCTGCAAAGAGTGTGATCAATATAGAAAATGTAGTTACGTACAGGTAGGCCTGTAAACGAGCTGAGCTAATCTCGTTTAATTCAATTTAACAGCAAGTCGAGTGCAAAACATAGGAACTAACCTCTCTCTATAAGATGCTTCAGAATTAACACCAACATAAAGGAGCTTGTCAAATCTGCCCGGCCGCAAGAGGGCCGGGTCTATAAGATCTGGTCTGTTGCTAGCTCCTATTATAAACAGATCCTATTGAATCCCAAGTAAAAAATAAAATTAAAAAGAAGAAAAAGAAACAAGAAAACTTTGAAATTGAAAAAAAAAAATACTAGAATAAGAAATTATTGATGTCAAAGAAGTCAGGCAAAAAAATGCATTTTTAGTCCTGTTGGTTTAACGCACGGCAATTTTAGTCCCAAAGTTTTAACTTTTCGCGATTTAATATTTGCTGTAATTTCAGTGCTCTGAGGACTGAAATTGCAACAAAATATTAAATTACAATACTGAGATTGCAACAAAATTTAAATTACATGACTTAAATTGCTAATACAAAATTCACGTCAAAGATATAAATTTCGGAATTTGTTGCACTTTCATTCCTCAAGCAAAATATTAAATCACATGAGCAAAAGGCATAATGTTAGAATCTTGGGACTAAAATTGCTATGGCGTTAAATCAACAACACTAAAAATGCAATTTAGCCAAGAAGTTATTTCCTACCTGGGAAGAATCATTAAGGCCATCAATTTCTGCAAGCATCTACAAACAAAAAAAATCACATTAGATAATGTGTCAAAGGAGGAACAAGCTATTCACCGTTTTTTTTTTTTTAAATATAAAATATTATATTAATAGGTTTACAAAAATCACAATTGATGTATACGCACATGCATACATATTGACATACGTACATACAGCGTATTAGTGTTACCATAGAATCTCGTTTTTAATCAAACCATAATTTTTTGTAAATCATAAAAAAAAAATAATATTTACCTGAGAAACAACTCTATCCATAACACCACCAGAATCTCCAGAGGCACCTCGGGCAGGGGCAAGCGAATCGAGTTCATCAAAGAATATAACACATGGACGAGCTGTTCGAGCCTAAAAACAATTCCAGAATTTAAAATTTAGCTTAAGATTGTGTTGAATAAGGATTTCACTAGTTACTCAAGAGGTTTGTAAGGATATTTTTTACCTTCTGAAAAATGTCCCGTACATTCTTCTCTGACTCACCTATGTACATGTTGATCAACTCGGGCCCTTTAACACTTAAGAAATTCAAGGAGCATTCTGTAGCAACAGCTTTTGCTAGTAAAGTCTGACATTTTTTCACAAATACGATAGCTTGCTTTAGAAGGACACTCACCACCAAATTTGAATAAATCATAAACGAGTAAAAATGTTTAAAATTCAATAAACTGATAGCCACGAACTTACTTTTCCAGTCCCTGGAGGACCATAAAGAAGAACCCCAGATCGCTTACGCAATCCAGATGAAAATAAATCTTTATGAATGAGAGGAAGCTGCAAATGTAATTACAAAAGCTATATCATGAATTGAAAAACATACTCAAATATTGGTAAGAAGAATATAGCATTGTCTCAAAAAATGCATTTTGACCTACTCACTTGTAAGGGAAAAGAGTGAATCATTATCCTTCATAAAATAATGTTGAAAATGTCCACAATACATTCAAAATATTGAAGAGATGGAATAATAATAGTAATAAAATACATTACCTGAATGGTGTCCAAAATTGATTTTTTTACATCCTCAAGCCCACCAACATCGTCCCATTTCACATTGGGTACCTAGAGTTGCAACAGTACAAACCAGTAAATGAATAAATAGATTAACAATTGTATAAACTATAAAGAATGGGATCAAGTCAGAGAATGACATGCAATATTTTCCAGAAAAACCACACACTTAAATAAACATCAAAAGAGCGAGCAAACGAGTATACTTCACCTTTGGAGTCCCTAGAGCTGATGCATTTCTTTTCTTTGATCGTTCTAATGCTTTGATTAGGTTTTCTTTACCAACATTTGTAGGTGCATCATTTATTTTGCAACTAGCATAAGTCGAATCAGAATCAACTGAGAAATGCTTTGACTTTTCAGGATCCATCTTCTCATTCTTGGGTATTATTAAATTTGCACCAGCATCAGCAATTAAAGCACGCAGGTCCCTGGGTGTAAAACCCGATGTCTGTCCAACTATATCCTTTACAAGATCCTCGATCGAAATCTGCAATGGTAAACCTTCTGACCTCTCAAAAATGTAATCCATGAAAAATGTAACGAAACCACATTGAAAAAAAAAAAAAATAGTTCAGAAATAAATGAGAGAGAGAAAGGGGACAAAATGCTGGTTTTTCTCATAATCGACAACTTCTTCTCGAATTATCTAAACAGCCTCATTTTCCATGGCAGAAAAAAAATTGAGTTCTCTAGTATTGTCATTGATTGCAACACTGAGGAATCAATAATTTAAAGAAAATATCATTTTCAGCGGAAAATATGTATAAGAAATCTCGACTTTTACAAGATAAACATGCAAAATCTAGAGGAGAGCAAAAAGTAACATACATTTGGAAGCAGTTCCGAGATATGTTGAAAGGATTGCGTCAGCAGTTGAGACCTTTGTTCTTCATTCAGAGCTTCCATTTTAATTTCATGTGTAAAACAGCGCCTAATAGTTGCCGGAAGACCTTCAGAATTGTCTGCAGTTGCAACTAGCAGCACTGGGTGCTGGTTTACCATTTCACTGGCCTTAAACTGCTGCTCAATGAAAGAAAAAAGAGAATCAATATCAACCGATCATTCTTGGCATAAAGTTTGTAATTTTATGGAGCAGTGCTTTAAGGAAATATCAAAGTACAGGTCAGATTATTGATTTTTACGAAATCAAATTTTGAACTCTCGATAGTGTTTCTTCTTAAAATGAACATTAACCGCGTCTTAGAATGACTTACAAGGAATAAAGATGAAAAAAATAGTGGAAGAAACATGGAGAAGCTAAACGCTGCCGATCAAATCTGATTTGAACTAACTATTTTTTAAGCAGTACAGAAAATTGCTAGTTACATGATTAAGCAATTTTTCGACTTACATAAACAGAATCGCCATGTAAGTTTTCTTCAACGTATTCTTCTTCATCATCGTTAATTATTGGCTCAGTGAACTGCTTGATAACGGAAGCAACTTCGGAATTAACTCCAGCTTGCTCATGAGAAGATCCCTCTTGAGCAGCTAGATTACGGAAAACCTCAAAACGACGGAGAAGAAGAATTGTTGGACAATACCTACGATAGTAGCAGTAGCATATGAAATGTATGAAATTCCTCTAAGAATCTAACAGAACAACATGACAATTATGCAAAAATCAAATGAATCTGCATGCTTTGCCTTGTAATATCAAATGGTTATACTGAATAAAATCCACCGTATTAAATTAATACTTTGAAGTTACACGATTTATAGGAGAGAGGTGTTTACTGCTTAACGTTTAATACCAAATCGGAATTAGAATACCTTCGAGCTGTATTAAAGGCTTCTGCTAGAGCAATAGATGTTTTCTTTTCAGAAGATGTCACAAAATTATGACAGCTATATTCGACCACATGCAAGCCCAAATGACGAGCAACACACCTAATCACTGTTCTCTTCCCACAACCTACAAATCACCTTCTGATGTCAAGTACATGAGAACTGAGGATCACCATAAAATATATAACATAATAGATATCTTATGTAAATAAATTACAAAAAAAAATAAAAATAAATAAAATAAAATAAAATTGGACACATGGATAAAACTTTGGATACAATACAGGGAGACAATTCCAGAAGTATGTAACAGACCAGAAGCACCATGTAACAGAACAGAGACCCTGAATTTGGATGTGAAGGCTGATGGACATAAAGCTGGTGCTAATACAGAGGCTAGAGCCAGCACAGCATCTTCTTGTAAAGAAGAGATATTTTTTGACCTTGGGATTAAAGGATCGGGAGGAACAGCAGATGGTGAGGCCCCTCCAAGAACGAGAGCAGTTTGGCTGCGGTTGACTCTCAGCACAGGTTCCTCTGATGGTTCCATAGCTGCCACCTGAAAAACCATCAAATTTTTAATATGGCTTATCATGCACAAGAAAATCATAAAAAAAAAAAAAAAAAATNAAAAAAAAAAAAAAAAATGGAAAAGAATGTATGTGCAGGAATAAGTTTTGGACCTTGAAGTATATTATGTCGTGAGTATTGTGTAGCGTATTCTGGCTGCAGAGGATGCACATTTCGGATTTGCAGTTCCAATTTATGCTTATACTGAAGAGGTCACCCCTGGAGAGATATCTATCGATTGAAAAGTAATCATTTAACTCCGCATCTATCAGCTCCTGTCGATCTTTTGCTTCGTCTGATGAACGGGTTTTCAGACGTTCAAGAGTGCCGCATTCTGGTACCTTCACAAAAGTGGCTCTCAAATGTGACGCGTACTTAGGAAGCTCTCCGTAAGATTGAATCTCTACACTAGCCGAAGGTAGTTTGCTTTCATTCCCATTTATTTCGCCATCAGCTTTCATTTTGAAAAAATACAAGAGTGTCTCTTTCCCCTTCTGCACGACAGATTTCAAGCAAGACAGGTGCAGATTCAAGTTAAATGCTAGAATCGGAGATAAATAAGCCACTTGAGGATCTAAAGCTGCCGAATGGTTTTGAGGATAAGGATATGAAGGGAAGACCAACATTGTGTAAGGGGCACGAGCACAAATAGACCCTCCTTCTGAGGGGTTTTCACACTGACTGGGAGGATCCAAGACCACTGCTTGTCCGATTTTACTCACATTTGCATCCACGTTCTTGATGAGCAGCTACACATAAGCAAAACGGTAAAGTTGGCAATGTTATTGATTCACGAATAAATCACAAATTCTCGATTCTCACTATCCAAAAATCAGGAGTTAGGATACTGTTCTGATGTATCACCCCAAACATGTCTATGTTAGCTCCACAAATGATGGAAAAAGTATACAAACATTTCTAAACGGAACAAATGTAGCAAAGGGGCTTAACTAAATCAACAAACTAGACAAAACCAAGATATTCCTAAAGGAATACTATCTTCAGCTATAATGCTTGGCTGTAAATTAGCTACCTTCGCACAGCAAACAACAAACTCAACAACAACAACAACAACAATAAAAAGAATCCTTTTCCACAGTAATCTCGAACCAAATCATTAAGGGCCTTCCGATTTCATCAACAAAATTCGAAATTGACAAAAAGAATAAAGAAATTAAGAAAACAATACCAGCGACCCGGAAGTAATGGACAATCGTTTGAGCATAGCAGTCGACAGCCCAACCAAAACAGAAGCATCAAGTGAACCGACCGTTGCACCCTCGGAAACTCTGAGTATTCCGGCCGGCGTCCGGGCGCGGGGACCGGCGGAGATTTCGTCAATTTCGTCCGATTCATCGGCGGTCTCTCGAGGATTGAGCAACAAATTCAGAATAGCTCGAGTGGAAGAAAGCACCAGCGGCTTCCTCTTCCTTCTCTCCACCATTACCGCCCAACAATTTGCAGAAAACCCTTGAACTGATCAGTATAGCTAAGGAAGAAAGTGACAGGGGTACAGGTGTTTGTCCGTGTGCGCGCGCAGTGGATATATATATACAGAGCGAGCTGTAAATTGAGCAACTCAAGGCAGTATGATGGTGGGCTATTGAAACTGTATTAATTTAATAATACCGAGTTGGGTAAATTGTAGTTCAATTATAGTAAAAGTGAAGAATAATATGGTCTAAAGATGATATTGCTAGTTTTCCTTTAAGAAATTTCTTCTAATAAAAATTAAGCAATATGAGTTAAATAAAGTTGGTTTGTGTATATCACAATTTTTGTTGGGGTGTAATGGTTAACCACCATAATTTATTATTGAAACATTATTTTCATTGTATGATATTTGATGATTATGGAATTATATAAATTTAGTATAATTTCATAAGGCAGGCTAGGCAGCCCTAATAAAATACATACAAGTTTTATTCATTGACCACTTATTTGTTAAGATAATTTTATTTCTTGGTTTGTCTTTCAATCTACCAAACTCTTAACTGATCATCTCATAGGATAAGAAAATTACTACATATGGCAATGAAGATTGAGTTGCAAATAAAATTTGCAACAAAGATAGCTCCAATTTTCTAACACTAACATCTATCAGACATAAAAACACACAATTAACTGAGAAAAACACCATCAACACCTAGAGACTGGCAGAGAAAGCTTCAGCCACCAAAAGCAGATCCACCACACAACACAAGGCTTCGAAACGAGACCACACGATATCCAAAGCAATACGAAAAAACGAGAACAAATCCGAAAATGCACTCCCTCGACACAACCTCTTCAGATGAAAGTCCCGAAACCACACAAGTAACAACGTAATATGAAAAACCACCAGTAATTAACAATCTCATTTTCATCACAAGCCACCGAAATATCCCAACAATGTCTATTACTCTATTCCACAAACCTCAAATTCAAAACCCTCCATTAAAAACTCGACCTAAGCGTTAAGACACTAACTTTTTTTTTTTGCCCGAAAACAGTTTCACGGGCCCGGACGGGCTCAACTTTCCCTGATAGATATCCAAAAGCTCAGGCACATATTTCTCATACTTCACCACATAATTCTTCAAGAAATCCTTCTCGGACAACTTCAACAACGTGTTCAAGCTCGAAACTTTCCCGCCTTTCAGCAAATTCTTCTCGCCAAGAATCCCAGCCACCACACACCTTGGCCTCATCCTCCTCTCTAAGCTCAAGTTCAACAGTACCGGGCACTGTGCCACATCACCAGGCTCACGACCCAACTCTTTCACGAGAAAACTCATGTTGGCCACGATTTTCTCCTCCGACACATTCATGCAATTGGGGAACCTGCGAATGGCACACGCCACGTCAGCCTCCGACCACCCGCACCTCTTGAAGATATCCATCTTACGCTTCAGGTTAGATTCGCCCAACTCTACGAAAACCTTGACTGCGTAAGCAAACGTGCTAGTCGAGACATTGAACCCCATTTTGACCGCCAAGTCAACGTAAGTCTCGAGCTTTTGTTTAACCACGAGAAGGGTCTGCGGGTGATTGACCATGTGGACAATGGACGATAGCGGGATCCCACGTTCCTTCAGCATGGATACGTTAGACGATAACCCGTCTAACGAGCAGCGGCCGAAAGTGTACGTTGCCCGCGAGAACACGCGGGCTACCCTCTCGTCGGATTTCAACAGGCCTTTCAGGAAGTTGTAGGAAGGGATGATCGAGTGTTTGAGGCTGCGGGTAAGGACAGAGGGCTGCCCGGAGAGCTTATCGGCAAGGACTGGAAGAGGGATGCCGAGCGACCGGAAGAACTCGAGTTTCGGGGTGAGATTTTGCTCCGGGCAGGAGAAGAGGACTTTGGGCCACCGTGTGACGAGTTTGGGGATGTGGGCGTGTGTGAAACCGTACTGCCGGAGGAGGTTCAGGACGGCGTCCGGTTTTTCCGGCGATTCGAGGTGGATTTTTGAGGATACGAGGACGGCGTCCTTTTCGGACAGGCCCCATGTGTTGATGAGGTACGATACGGTGAAAGATTCCTCTGAGGCATTTTCTCGAACAGGTGGTGTTTTTTTCTTGGTGGAGAATGGCCTGAGGAAGTCTGCATTTTGGGGAGAACGAAATTGGATGGGAGAGATAATACGGTCTATCGGAGGGACCCTGAGTCGTCTCCTGTAAATAATTGCTAACATTTGTGTTCAGATGTGTTTTCACGGCTGCGAAACCGTGAAACCCTGCCGTAAGTAGGAAGCCCGCAGGTTTGAGATTTCACGGGAAGGGTATGAAAGCGGGTTACTAATGCAAACTGCGGAGATATAAATCCAACCAAAAAAAGTCCAATCATTTTTAACTCAACCATTTTTTTTAACTCAACTTTAACTCAACCACACTATCATCAATATTATCAATATAATTAAATAATATCAATCAATCATTCTTACACACAATATCAACCTTAATTCACTATTCATCAACTCACATAATTTTAACTAACCATCACATCACATCTTCTCTCTCCTACTTTTACATTAATTTAATTTTAATTGTTTTATTTTAAATATTATTTAAATATATCCACTAACAACTAACCATACCAATTTTTTCAAATTTAACCAACCCAAACCAAAAATCCAATCAAAACAAAAACTTTTTATATCCAATCATGCTAAGCGTTTTTATAATTTTTTTTCTTTTCCGAGATTTTCTTAATATTTTTAGAAACTTAACAAATAACAACTTATTGCTATAGATCAAGTAGTAATACACGAGCTCGGCGGAGCTCGAGCTTAGCTCATTAACAATATTAACGATTCGAGTTCGAGTCAATCTAGAGCTTTAACAAGTCAAATTATAAAAATTTCTCTTGCTAGTTTTTTGAGGAGATCCTCTGGGAATTTCTTCGAGAATAGATCGCAACTCCGACTCTCCATTGGTGGGGTTCAGAGTGGAGATTCTGCTCCTTCCTTTCATGCGTCTCATTCGGTTATGAGTTACATAAAGTTGTTTGTGTATATCACAAATTTTTTTGTTAGGCTGTAATGGTTAACCACCATAATTTATTATTGAAACATTTATTTTCATTGTAAGATATTCGATTGATTCTGTAATTATTTAAATTTGGTATAATTTCACAAGGCAGCCTAAAAAAAAGAATACAAGATTTATACATTGACCATTTATTTGTCAGATAATTTTTTGCCTTGGTTTGTCTTTCAATCTACCAAACTCTTAACTGATCATCTCCTACGATAAGAAAATCACTATACATGGCAATGAAGATTGAGTTACAACTTATAAATAAAGTTTGCAACAAAGATAGCTCCAATTTTCTAACACTATCAGACATAAAAAATACAATTAACTGAGAAAAACACCATCAACACCTAGAGTCTGGCAGGCAGCTGAGAAAACTGTCAGCCAACAACTGCAGCAGATCCACCACACAACACAAGGCTTCGAGACGAAACCACACGAGTTAACAACAACACGATATCAACAGCAATACGAAAGAACGAGAACAAATTCGAAAATGCACTCCCTCGACACAACCTCTTGAGATGAAAGTCCCGAAACCACACAAGTAAAAACGTAATACGAAAACCACAAGTAATTAACAATCTCATTTTCATCACAAGCCACCAAAATATCCCAACATTGTCTATTACTCTATTCCACAAACCACAAATTCAAAATCCTCCATTAAAAACTCGACTTAAGCGTTAAGACACTACTCTTTTTTGCCCGAAAACAGTTTAACGGCACGGACAGGCTCAACTTTCCCCGATAGATATCCAAAAGCTCAGGCATATCTTTCTCATACTTCACCACATACTTCTCCAAGAAATCCTCCTCCGAGATCTTCAACATCGTGTTCAAGCTCGAAACTTTCCTTCTTTTCAGCAAACCCCTCTCGACAAGAATCCCAATCACCACGCACCTCGGCCTCATCCTCCTCTCTAAGCTCAAGTTCAACAATACCGGGTACTGTGCCACGTCACCCGGCTCAAAACCCAACTCTTTAACAAGAAAACTCATGTTAGCCATGATTTTCTCCTCCGACAAATTCATGCAGCTGGGGGACCTGCGCACGGCGAACGCCACGTCAGCATCCGACCACCCGCACTTCTTGAAGATATCCATTTTACGCTTCATGTTCGATTCGCCCAACTCTACAAAAACCTTCATGGCGTAAGCAAACGTGCTAGTCGAGAAGTCGAACCCCATTTTGACCGCCAGGTCAACGTAGGCCTCGAGCTTTTGCTTGCCCACGTGAAGGGTCTGCAGGTGATTTACCATGTGGACAATCGACGATAGCGGGACCCCACGTTCCCTCAGCATCGAGACGTTAGACGGTAAAGTGCCAAACGAGCACCGGCCGAAAGTGTTTGGGGCCCTCGAGAACACTCGGGCGACCCTCTCGTCGGATTTCAACAGGCCTTTCAGGTAGTTGTAGGAAGGGATGATCGAGTGTTTGAGGCTGCGGGTAAGGACGGAGGGCTCGCCGGACAGCTTATCGGCAAGGACGGGAAGAGGGATGCCGATTGACTGGAAGAATTCGAGTTTCGGGGTGAGGTTTTGTTCCGGGCAGGAGGAGAGGATTTGGGGCCACCGTTTGACGAGTTTGGGAATGTGGGCGTGTGTGAAACCGTAATGTCGGAGGAGGTTCAGGATGGCGTCCGGTTTTTCCGACGATTCGAGGCGGATTTTGGTGGATACGAGGACGGCGTCCTTTTCGGACAGCCCCCATGTGTTGATGAGGTACGATACGGCGAAAGATTTGTCTGAGGCATTTTCTCGAACAGTGGGTGTTTTTTTCTTGGTGGAGAATGGTCTGAGGAAGTCTGCATTTTGGGGAGCCCGAAATTGGATGGGAGAGAAAATACAATCTTTTGGAGGGACCCTAAGTCCTTTCCTGTAAAAAATTGCTAACATTGGTGTTCAGATGTGTTATCACGGCGGGGATACCGTGAAACTCTGGCGTAAGTAGGAAGCCCGCAGGTTTGAGATTTTAGTACTGACGCAGGTGTGAGAAAGGGTAGGAAAGCAGGTTAGTAAACTTGAGGAGATATCGCGTTTCTTATTATTTTTAAAAACTTAACTAATCGCTATAGAGAGCATTCGATCCTCTACACATGCACATATATAAATAAAATTTTATATATTATATATATGTGTATAGATAATATTTAAAATTATAAATTAGATAATAGCATATCATATTTTATAAATTTTATCATTAGTAAAAATGAACGATAAACTATTAACTTACATATTAATCTTTATATCGATTGCAGTTATATAATTTTTACAATCTTTTTTATTATGAACAATTATTTAGATAATACAACATTGAAATTATTATTGATGTAGCAATTGTGTATGAAATTTTAACATTTTTAGTTATATCATAAAAATTAAATAACTAATCTTAATAAAAAACTTACTTAATGAGTTAAAAAAAATTAAATAAATAGTTTTAAAAAATATTTATAATATCATTTAAGGTGACTTTATGATTTATTAATTGTTAGTAGTAGTTATTATATAATAAAATAAATAATAAACATAAATAGTTAATTAATGAAGTAACGTCCTTTAGGAAAAGTTTTGAGATTTTATTAAATATTTGATTAGTAATATATATATAGATAATTAATAAGTTAACATACTGCTTGCCAAAATTCCTTATAATTCTTTCGTTGGTTTAAGGCAACTCAAACTTTGCATAGTTAGTTGTGGGAATTGAAATTAATAATTTTTGGATTTAATCCTTTATTTTTATAAAATTAAAAAAAATTAAAATGCCTAAAACTTTTAAATAACAATAACAATAATAGTAATTGAAAGAGTTTCCAAGTGTGCTTGTGCATCGCATTTTTTACTATGAAATGAGACAAGCCATTAGTGAACTCGACTCGATTTAACTCAACTCGATAGGGATTGTTAAAATTTAAAAAGATGAACTTTTATATAATTTTCTATAATGTTAGTTTGTTACGACTTGATGTTGACTTGTAAATATTGAACGGCCGAACTCAATTATAATTTGTTAAACTAACGGTCGAGTTCAACTCATTAAGATTCGAGCTTGAACTTAATATCACAAGCTCGAAGTCGAACTCAAACTCAACTTGTAAATATTAAACGAATGAGCTCAACTACTGACTCGTTAATATTGGAGCTTAGAATACACAAACTCGAATTATGCTCGGCTCGTTTACACTATGTTTGCCGATTTATATAAGCGGCCATTGTTGTTTCTTAACCTAGAAGCAATGGCCTTCTTTATATCACCTTCGTGCGCTACTTTTTCTTCGCAGAGCTTATACAAACAATCCTTTATACCTAGTTGAAGCACTCCGAGCTTTTGCTTTTCTTCTTTTTTCACCGTTTATTTTCGCAATCGATAATGGCCGAAGAGAATTCCAACCCTCAACAACCCCTTTTGGTAAGAAATCCACACGATTTATCCTTGACTTGATTCGAAAATCTGAATTCTGCTATTAGGTTTAATTTGGTTTTAATTTTGATCCTATTGATTGTGATTTTTGTACCTCTGTGTTAGGCGAAAGGCGAGGAGCAGCAGGGGCTCAAGTACCTGGACTTCGTGCAGGCGGCGGTTTTCCGCGCGGTGGTGATTGCCGGGAGGATGTATGGTTGCGCCAAGGAGAAGTCGGGCCCTCTCAAGCCCGGAGTTGATACCGTCGAGGGCACCGTTAAAGCTGTCATAGGCCCGGTTTACAATAAGTATCACGGCGTTCCTGTTGATGTTCTCAAATTCGTTGATAGTAAGGTAAAACTTCGTCTAATGATTCGTCCACGCCTTTTATTATTATTATTATTATTATGGGTCTGCTATGTGATTTTTCATCTTTTTGATGCTTCACCTTGTTTATTGAGCGAGATGATTAGTATTTGTTTCACATGAACTCTGATTGCCTGTATTTGTGTGTATCTGTTGAACGGAAGAAGCTGTTGATCGTTTCTTGGGTGATAATTTGGGTGCATTACAGTGAAGTGAATCTCTTTTGAATTTTGATACAGAGAAATGAGGCTTTTGGTTTTAGCTAAACTAAAAATGTAGGTTCCTTAGTCATGATTTTGGTCAATTACGACTGTTGTTGGAGATAATGTGTTCGAAAAATCGATTGTCCCTTTTGCAGGGCTTCTATCAACAATGATCATGAACTTGCGCGAGTTTCCGTCGTCTTTTTTATACGATCGTCTGACTTATCTATTGAGCGGGATGATTAGTATTTTTTTCACATGAACTCTAATCACCTATTTGTGTATCTGTGTAGTTTGGGTGCATTACAGTGAAGCGAATCTCTTTTGATAAACGAAATGAGGCTTGTGGCTTCAGCTAAAAATGAAAAAAATTAAATATGTTTTTGTTAATCACCACAATCTAGTTTAATCTAGCTTATAGCTTATAAGCTTTCTTTATGTAAATAAGTTTGGTTTGGTATGAGGTTTTTTAAATGCTCAAGCTTATTTCATAAGCTCCAAGCTTTTCAAATAATCCCGTCGAAATTTTGAGTTCAGGACTTTTATCATATCAGTTAGCTTTTAAGACATAAACCATAAGTTATCAGTCGAAATTTACTTATCAGCTATCAACTAGCTTATCAGTCATATAATTTTTCGATGCTGGAGATTAGGTGGTACGGTGTACAAAAAATTGAATCCTTTTTTCGGCCCGTTTTTGCTGGGCATTTATCAACATTGATCATAATATTGCCACACACACACAGGTCGATGAATCTATTATCAAAGTCCAGAGCTTGAAGCAGGCTTCGGCCCAAGCCCTTGTGGCAGCCCAGTCAGTCGCGGCTGAGGTCAAGAACAACGGTGTTGTGGGGACCGCCAAAAAATACGAGCCTGTGGCCGAAGAGTATGCCATGTCCACCTGGCGCTCCCTGAACAAGCTGCCGGGCTTCCCGAGCGTGGCCCGGGCAGTGGGGCCCACAGCCAGCTACTTCACGAACAAGTACAACGAGACAGTCAAGGAAGCTTCCGGAAAGGGCTACAAGGTGGCTTCGTACCTTCCGCTGGTGCCAATTGAGAGGATTGCAAAGGTGCTTGACTCATGAGCTGCGCTCATATTTGTGTTCTGGTTTTTCGTTAATAGGAACGATAATTTAGTTTTAAGTTNATCATTGTCCATCTCCAAAATGTGAAATCATTGTCCATCTCCAAAAGTTTCACGTTATTTCTTGTTTGTGTTTGGACGTGTGTGGACATAAATTATGGTCAAAAGTCAAAACTGGTTGCCAACTGGCACAGACCCTGCAACACTCTCTCAAAATAACGGTCAAGTCGGCCCATAACAGTGATCTTGCCCGGAAATATTGCAGGATGGACCCAAAAAGATGTAATTCACAAATTTGTAGTAGATATTGCAATACACTCTTTCTTAACGCGAGAAAAATTTCCTTCAATTTTTTCCTCGACACTAGAGCTATTAAAGGAGTCGAACAGTTTGCGAACACAATTCCCTAAACGAAGCTTGAACAGCTAATCGAGCTCCTCTATTAAACAAGCGAAGCTCGTACACCTAATCGAGCTTGTTTATTAAATGAGTCAAGCCGAATTTGTTTACGAGTAGCTCGTTTTCAATGCTTTGTACTTTTTTCATGGAATTTAAAAAAGTAATAATTGAGCTGAACTTTTTTGTAAACAAACATTTCATGTTCTCCAACAATTTAATTAAGATTTTAGATTTTATCAAAGGATCCGAGCATTCACAAGCTTGAAACGAAGCTAATCGACTCGATTCGACTTGGCTCGATTATTACACCCCTACTTAGACACTGAAATCCAATTTATGAATACTTTCTCTCCTCAACATTATACATTATTGAACATCCTTCTCATTTTCTATTTTAATTTTTTATTTTGTCCATTCCTCTCCGCTAAAAACAGAAACCAAACTCCAGAAAAAAAGATCCTTAGCCACACAGAAAGGAGAAATTTTGATAATTGACACCCAATTCGCGCGCCTCATTGAATTTGACACCAAATTCGTAAGCATTTGCAAATTTGACACCCGACACACGAATCCGTTGCATCTGAGGGACTCCCCCCTATTTTTTTCATTTTTTCTTTTCAACTTATTATTGTTGCCTATTATTCTAGGAGATGAGACAGTTTTGCCCCTGTGAATAGTATGTATTCAATTAAGTAGTAGTAGGGAGGGGTATTTTAGTAAAAAAAAAAAAAACTGAATCTCGCTCGCTCGCTCGCTTGTACCATTGGGTACTCAAAAAACAAAAGTGAAATATCAAACTTTTCTTTCACCGGGAACCCATCGACTGCAGCCGACTGGAAGAACCCTAGCCCGCCTCCATCTGCCCACGCAGCCGCCGGCCACCATCTCCACTACCCGCCTCCGCCACTCCGTTCTGGAGGAGCTTGACCGAGCACCATGGATTCTTTCGAGATACCTCCTGGGTAAGGCTGCAATCCTTGTCCTCTAAGTTGTGTTTGAGTTGGGAAGATGCATGTGCGACCGATTAGGACGATTATGATACAACTAACTGATAAGTATATTTGTTTTTTTTGTCGGTACTCGTTAGGATCGATCTGGATGCAGCAGTTAGAGTGTGTGTTCAGATTTCTCATTTCTTAGCAAAGCTAGATGATGGTAGCTGTGTTGATGTGCCACGGAAATACGTTGAGTGGACTGTTGACTATCGCTATTGTAATTTGGATTCGGTGGAGAAGGAACTAGCTGAAAGGGTGAAGTGGGGCAGCTGCCAGCATCTTAGAATTTCTGAATTTGACATAGACACTGGTGGAGAAAGGGATTTGGTGGATGATAATGATTTGGCCTGTGCTTTGTCTGAGAGGAAGACAGATCATAAGATTATTTTGTATGTGGATGTGGAGGACAAACCTTTATTCCATGTTTCTAAGTCATGTGTTTCAGAGGCAGTCATGAGCAATGAAGCAGTCACAGATGGTAGTACTGAGCCTCATGTGATTGATTGGGACAGTCTTGAGATAGTTTCAATTGCAGAAGAGCATATAGGTGCTGCAGTTAATTTGATGGATGAAGATGCTATGTATGAATTTCTTGGTCTTAGAGGTGAGGATGAGAGGGCACAACAAGAAAAGGTAGCAGCAGAAAACCAACTTGAAGTTGTTACTGATGTAGACCTAGAAGATGCAGCATTGCCAGTTGATGATTTGATCCCTGAGGAGGAAGGTATTGGTTATGATCCGGACAACCCTCCAATGGAAGTTGGTTCCATTTATAGTAGTATGGTAGAATTCAGGAAGGCTGTCCATAAGCATGCTATAAAGGGACAATTTGAGCTTGGGACAGAGAAATCATGTAAGAGTAGATATAGGGGATATTGCAAAGCTGATGGCTGTCCATGGGCCATTGTTGCAAGGTTGATGGCTGATAAAAAGCAAGTCAGGGTAAAATGCTAACAAATGATACTCCATTGTTTCTTCAGTCCTACATGCATCTATGTATTACTAACTCAATTTTTTTCCATATGGCAGGTTACTGTGAATAAAGGTGAACATTTTTGTGCATCCATCGGAAGAGTGAGAACAAAAATGGCTTCATATCATTGGGTGGCTGAGAAGGCAATCCATTATCTAATGAAGGATTCAAATACGGGTGCAAAGAAATTGCAAAAGGAGTTGCAGAACAAGTATCAAGTGACAATTGGATATTGGACAGTTTGGCATGGTAGACAGAAGGCAGCTGAGAAATTGTATGGTACATGGGAGGAAAGTTTTGCATATTTGTTCAACTTCAAGGCAGAGGTGGAGTTAAGAATGCCTGGAAGTGTTGTACAAATAGATGTCATAAGACAAAGAGATGATGTCTATTTTCGTAGATTCTTTTGTTGCTTCAAACCTAGCATTGACGGTTTCCTAAATGGATGTAGACCATTCTTGAGCATAGATTCCACTGCCCTTAATGGAATGTGGAATGGCCATCTCCCGTCAGCTACAGCCATGGATGGGCACAACTGGATGTTCCCAGTTGCTTTTGGATTTTTTGACAGTGAGACCACTGAAAATTGGACATGGTTTATGCAGCAGCTGCAGAAGGCCATTGGGAATCCACAACACCTAGCTATCAGTACAGATGCTTGTAAGGGCTTAGAGAATGCTGTGAAAGCAGTGTACCCTTGGGCAGAGCACAGAGAGTGTTTTTTTCACTTGATAAGAAATTTTGTCAAGCAATTTCGTGGCCCTGTGTATGACAGAATTTGGCCAGCAGCTAGAACTTTCCAACCTCAATATCATGATTACTGCATGAACAAGATTTATGCAGCAAATAAGAAGGTAAAGCCTTACCTGGACAAACATCATCACTTAATATGGAGTAGGAGCAAATTCTCAACTGAGATCAAAGTTGACCATATCACAAACAATGTTGCGGAAGTTTGGAACAATTGGGTGAAAGAGATTAAGGACCTTCCTATTACCGAGCTTGCAGACACATTGAGGTCCAAATTCATGGAATTGTATGCAAAAAGGAGGCGGATTGGTGAGAAATTCGATGGTCATGTGATGCTCCCTATTGTTATCCGCCAACTGTACGCACAGAGTAGGCAATTGGGACACTTGAAACTCCAGGAAGGTAACAGGGAGGAAGCACAGGTGACTGAAGTTACTAAGAACCATAAGGTCTTGAGACATGTGGTGGATATTAGGAATCATACTTGCAGTTGCAGGGAGTGGCAGGTCTCAGGGAAACCATGTCCCCATGCTTTGGCACTCATAGTGTCAAGCAGGAATCCTAAGATGGAAGAGTACTTGCATCCTTACTTCTCAGTCAGGAATTTCAGACTTGCATATTCTGGTGTTATTAAACCAGTAACTGACAAGTCGCAGTGGGTACATGTCGACATGGGTTTCAAGTTGAGGCCACCTCTGCAAAAGAGAAAAGTTGGGAGACAGAGGAAGAATAGGATACCTAGCTGCATAGAGTTGAAGGGCAACAAAAATAGGTCCCAAGGCAAGTGGCAGGTTACATGTAAAAAATGCTTAGGACTTGGCCATAGGAGTAACTCACCAAAATGCCCTATGAATGGAACAAAAAAGAGGTAACTTCAACTTAGCTGTCATGTTTGATGTATATTATTGTTGCTATGGCCTAACTTGAACTACAAAAATTTATACAGGAAGAGCCGTGCGAAGCCAGGAAGGAAGCCTGGTTCAGGAAAAGAAGAAGGAGGCCCAAGTACACCTAAAAGACAGAAAGTTGTAGTGAATGATGATGCACTGAACACAAGCCCTGCAATGAATACAAGAAGCAAACTTGCATTGATCAATGAAGGTGGAGAGGTGACAAGTCAGGAGGTGAACACCCCCACCACTAGTCCAGTCAAGAAAAATAGAGCTGTCAAGAAGAAGCTCACTCCAAGAAAGGCAGCCAACTAAATTTGGATATTGATGGATCCTGGTATCCATGCTTTTGTTATGTGAACCTTTCATTATTTTGAAGCATTTCTGGATATTTTGTTATTTGAACCTATTATGATGTATGTGAAGCATTTCTGGATATTTTTAAATGAC